GTTTTTTGACGGTCCCGAGGCCCGGCGAGGGCCCCCGGAGGCCGAAAATAGCGAAAAACCTCCGTCGTGTTTTTTTTCACGACGCGAGGAGGTCTGGCTCGCTCGCCGCCGAGAATCGCCTCGCTTCGCGCAAGGGCGCCCCGCGACGCGCGGCGCACGCTGCTCCTCGCGCCCTCGCGCCGCCGCGCTGGCGCCAGGAGGAGGAGGAGGAGGCGGAGGAGGAGGAGGCGGAGGAGGGGGAGGAGGAGGAGGAGGAGGAGGAGGAGGAGGATGAGGAGGAGGAGGAGGAGGAGGAGGAGGAGGAGGAGGAGGAGGAGGAGGAGGAGCAGCCCTCCGTGCACGACGCGCGAGGCGCGCCCACCCCTGGCGGCCCTGCGGACGACCTGCTTAGCTGCGCAGGCCGCTGCCACGGGTGCGCTGCCCTGCACTGGCGCTGCAGGGCTGCGAGGGGGAATCCTCCGACACCCGCAGACTCACGTCGGGCCTGGGATGTTCGACGAAAAATAAAAAACCCAACAATAGTCAAAAAATAATCAAAAAATAGTCCGGGGACTATTTCTTGAGTATTTTTTGACCTGCTTGGGGTATTTTGGGGTTATTTTTTATTTTTCGTTGAAAATCCTCCTGTAGGGGGGCACGCCCCGACATAACCCCAGACCTACGACGCCGGGAAGTTCTTTCGCGACATGCGACGGTCGATTCGCCGATCCCCATCCCCGCTGGCACGGCCTTGGCCTTACTGACCGGTTAAACCCCCTGGGTGCGGATGTATGCCCGTTCCTTCAGATTTCGCGGGGCCGATCCCTACCTCAGAGGACGGGCTCGTGGGACTGAAATACAATTTTGGAACCGCGCGTATATGCACTAAGGTATCTGGGTCCTGTCCCATGGAGCTTCGCAGAAACGCCACAAGACAACGTACAGTGCACAATCTTCCGGACGGTTCTTCGTGCGATGGGTGCTGAAGAACATGCCTACACTGTGCTTGGGTCGCGATTTGCTGCGAAATGGTGGACAGCATATCATAATGCAGATTTTCCCTGTTGGATTGTTCACCGCGGGAAGACAAACATGGGATGCGCCAGCCCTCAGTGGGCCCTCGTAACGACAGGGCCGTTTTTTTACCGGTTCCGTTTTGCAGTTTTTTTGCCGGCGCCGTTTTTTTACCGGCTCCGTCGCCGTTCTCTTTTGCGGGCTCCCGCTCCGGTTCCAATCCTGGAGCCGTTTTGGTTGCCGCTTCCGGTCGCCGTTTTTTGGCCGCTTCTACTTTCAAGGGACCCTTTTTCGGAGACGGTGAAAAAAACGGCCCTGCCGCTTCCGGGGCCACAAAGGATGAGTCCCTTCGTCCCTTTTATGGGCGTCCGTCCTTGTAGCGTTAAGTCGGGCCTGTCCCTCTACAGGGGGAATCTTCAAGCATAGCAATATGGTCGGTGGAGTATATTGTTTGGCAATTGTCGAACATTCTGGGCATATTTTTGGCGTATGTTAATTTTTCACTCGAGCTCCATTTTCAATGGACCCTTTTTCGGAGACGGTGAAAAAAAAACAGCCCTGCCGCTTCCGGGGCCCACTAAGGGAAACCCTGACTCCGGATCCGCCCTACTTTGGCTTCTTTCCCAATTTAAAACTGCGTCGGAACACACACATCTGAGAAGCCGAAAGAGTAGGGCGGAAATGTCCGCCCCCTAGAAGCAAGGCTGATAGTTTCGCCTTACTTTTTGACGTTTCTGGTCAAGCCCAGTAGGGCGGACTGACTTCCGGGGCCCACTGAGCGCCAGCCCCGCTCGACGCGGTCCCCCCGCGGGCACGCACGGGCACGCCCGCGGCAGCTGCCGAACGAGCCTCCGGCGGTCGCCTCGCCTCGCAACGACGCCCCTCTGTGGCGTGCCGCGACGGGCCCTGGACTTTTGAGCAGGGGCCGGCCGCCGGAGCCAGTCCGGCAGGCTATGCCGCGGCAGGCGATCACAACCGAAGAGTGCTCCTGCAACAAAACATGAAGGGGAACTGGGACACACAAATAAATACACACACACACACATAAAACGGTTCCCCATAGTTTCCCATATTTTCGGGTTTTTTGTCCTTCCCCCCCACGTCCCCTATTTTCCCCTCTTTTCCTGGGAGTCGACGATTCATGGTGTCTGTGTGTGTTTTTCCCTTCCGAAAACAGTCGGGGGCACGTAGGACTCGGGAACGAGGCCCCCGCGGCGTGCCCCGGCGGGCCCTGGACTTTGAGCACGGGCCGGCGGCCCGAGCCGGTCCGACAGGCCTGCAGAGTCTGGGCGCTGGCCCACGGAGCCCCAAATTAAGGATCGAGGCCCCTCTCCTCCAGAAGTGAAGCCTCGGCTTCCCCTCGAAAACCCAAGGAGCCCTAAACTAAGGAACGAGGCCCCTCTTCTCCAGAAGTGGAGCCTCGGCTTCCCCTCGAAAACCCGAGGACAACTTGTGAGGCAAGTTGCGACACGACGCAGGAACACCGGGCCCCTCCCCAACAGAACGGGTTCCGGCTGCAGCGTCCCGACTGTACCACGGCGTGCGATCACAACCGAAGGGTGTCCCTGTAACAAGAATCGGGGAGACGTCAAACTCGGGAACGGGGGACTCGGGTCGGCCTGACGGAGGCCCTGCTGCGTGCCGGCAGGCCCTGGATTCGAGCAGGGGCCGGCCGGCGGAGCCAGTCCGACAGGCTATGCCACGGCAGGCGATCACAACCGAAGAGTGCTCCTGCAGCAAAATGGTCGGGGGGGACGTAGAACTCGGGAGCGGGGGGCTCGGGTTTGATGGGACTGATTTCCACCACCACTACCATATGTTGGAGAAGGAGGAGGAGGAGAAAGAAGAGGAGGAGGAGGACCTCTCCCTCCAACCTATGGTAGTGGTGGTCGAAACCAAGCCCATCACGGGTTGGCCTGACGGAGGCCAGCATGAAAACGGCGAGACCCGATCTGCGATTTGACGCGGGCGCCCGGTGCAGACATCCCACGAAAACGTGACCGTCAAAATCCAGGATGCGCTCGCCAAAAAAATCGGCAAGCCCGAGTTCCGGCTTACTCGAGTCTCATGTTTCCCCGAAGAAGCAAGAATCTTAGAACGTAGTGCCGATGCGCCAAAACAACACGTGCGCAACCAGACTGTTCTAAGAACGTGCCGTGCAAACCAGAAGAAGCCATTTTAACATTATCTGGTAGGCCTTTGGGCGAATTAGGAAACTCCGCCACGGGTTTATTGATGCCGGGGATCTCCAAGCGCCCAGGGAGGGCCAATTACACACGAAGAAACATCGATCTCACCATAAACTTTCGGACATCAACGCAAATCTCTTAGATCGGTGCTGGATCCGATTCAAAGCCCGCGTGGACCTCCAAGCAATTATGTTCGTGTAGTTTTTCCCAACCATCCTGTACTGTTGGGCCCTCATTTTGAAGAGACGGTCCGCGCGTTCTCCTCCGCCCTCCTCCTTCCTTCCTCCTCTTCCCCCTCCTCCCTCCTCCCTGCGTTTCACCCACCCAGTACAACGCTTCGTAGCCCCATAGGGAGCTCCACCGAAAGCCTCAGTGCCACCGCCCGCATGGCGCCGCCGCCCCATTTTGGCGCGCCCCTCACACGCTTCGTGGCCCCATGGGGAGCTCCACCGAAGGCCCCAGTGCCACCGCCCGCGTGGCGCCGCCGCCTCATTTTGGCGCGCCCCTCACACGTTTCGTGGCCCCGCAAGGAGCTCCACCGAAGGCCCCAATGCCACCGCCCGCATGGCGCCGCCGCCCCATTTTGGCACACCCCTCACACGTTTCGTGGCCCCATAAAGAGCTCCACCGAAGGCCCCAGTGCCGCAGCCCGCATGGCGCCGCCGCCCCATTTTGGCGCGCCCCTCACACGTTTCGTGGCCCCACAGGGAGCTCCACCGAAGGCCCCAATGCCACCGCCCGCATGGCGCCGCCGCCCCATTTCGGCACACCCCTCACACGTTTCGTGGCCCCACAGGGAGCTCCACCGAAGGCCCCAATGCCACCGCCCGCATGGCGCCGCAGCCCCATTTCGGCACACCCCTCACACGTTTCGTGGCCCCATAAGGAGCTCCACCGAAGGCCCCAGTTCCACAGCCCGCATGACGCCGCCGCCCCATTTTGGCACGCCCCTCACACGTTTCGTGGCCCCACAGGGAGCTCCATCTAAGGTCCCACTGGCGCAGCCCGCATGGCGGCGCATCCCGGGCGGGAACCAGCCTGCTCACTCGTTCTGCTCCGCGCAGCGGACGACCCGCGCGCGTCGCCGGGGTCCCTTCGGGGCGAGCAGCGCGCGTCGCGGGGACTCCGCGCGGCGCTGCGCCCGCGGCCTTGGACGTGGGCGTGCACGGGCAAAGAGGGAGAAGAAGAACGAGAAGGAAGCGGGCGCGATCCTCGTGAGAGGCGCGCCGACATGGGCGTCGACATTTATGCACGTAGACTCACGCGCGCGCAGACTCATCCACAATCAGACTCACGCGCTCTCAGTCTCTCGCACACAGAACTGTCGTCTTCGCTCGCGTTGTGTGCCCCGCCACGCATGTCGGCACGCCCCTCACACGGGTATAGGGAGCGCGGGCGAAGATGATATTTACACTTGCGGTATTCACAGCTGCATATGGTTGGGTCCTTCGCCAGCCTAATTTCCCCCCCTGCAGTCGGTGGCCAACGACGCCGCGGCACCCGCAGCGGAGATCCGAAGTCCTCCAACGTGCCCCGAGGCACGACGTGGATTTTCCCCAGAGGTCCTCCAGAGGCCCCAGAGAGGGCTCCAAGACACACCCACACCGCTTCAACGAGGCTTGCGAGAGGCCTCCCAAGAGATCCCCACAAGCATCCAAGATGCCCCTGACCTTCAATCCAAACACGGTATTGGTATCTTTCGGTGTTCCACCGCCTTCCCGACTAATTTGACGTCCGGGAAGGATAGGATCGCCTCTTCCCCCTCAGAGGGTGGGGCGCTCTGCAAAACAAGACAGAGGGTTGGCTGCCCAAGAGCACCACCGTGAGACTTCTGACGTCGAAATCAATCACGTAGAGGTTGAACGGGTCGCGCGAACCTGCTATGACGACGCGGTCTATGAGCCGCAGCGTGGCGGCGATCCCGGGCGAGCACATCCTGGGTGGGCGGATGACGGCTGGGGGCTGGAGGACGCAGGCAGAGAGTGCGAGGGAGGAGAGAAGAGCGGCGGGAATGCGAGGAAGGCGATGAGGCGGAGGTGGACCAGCAGGATAGGCAGGGGAGCAGGACGATGAGGCAGAGGAAAAGGAGGAGAAGGCAGAGGGGGAGACCCGCATCGGCCATCACAGCACAGTGGCTGGCGCTCAACGGCTTGTGAAAGACGGGTCGCCCAAGACCGCTGACGACACAGCGTGGCGGCCCGACGCAGCACCCCAGCCGCCCTCCCTGTCCACTCCCATGGTAGAGGCCTCCTAGATGGGGCCCGAGTAGATGGGGTCGAAGGGATCGCGCCGCATCGCTCATGCATCGCGGATGTATCGAGGATGCATCGGCGATGCATTGGCGACGTCGGCGATGCATCGGCGACGTCGGCGTGGGGAAATACGGGCTCCGCATCGAGCCGCATCGGCGATGCATCGGCGATGCGGCGCGACACTCCGACCCCGTCTACTCCGACCCCACCTAAGATCGGGCCGGGCGAAAGAAGGGGATAGCAAAGGGGGGGGGGGGGGGAGAATCAGCCTGCGCCTCCCGGCGGCCAGGTATCGAGGAACGGGCCCCTCGGTGGGGCTGAAACCAGCTGCATGTTCGTTGGGGGCAGATTTCGTTACCCCTCGGTGGGGGCAGATTTCGTGACCCCCCCTTTCCCTGTCCCCCCCCTCGGTGGGGTAGATTTCGTGGGCCCCTCGGTGGGGCAGGTTTCGTTACCCCCCAGAAACTGAAGGATGCAATCTTAGGGATGCACCCTCAGAAACTGAGGGAGCCCCTAAGATCGCCATCGTGACGAGGCGATGCCCAACATAGGGATGGGGATAGGCTCCAGGCTGGTAACTACAGCCCCCCCTCGGTGGGGCTGAAACCGGCTGCATGTTCGTTGGGGGCAGATTTCGTTACCCCCCCTTTCCCTCGGTGGGGCAGACTTCGTTACCCCTCGGTGGGGGCAGATTTCGTGATACCCCCCCTTTCCCTGCCCCCCCCCCCTCGGTGGGGCAGATTTCGTGGGCCCCCCGGTGGGGCAGGTTTCGTGACCCCCCACGTTTCCCTACCCCCTCCTCCTCCTCCTCCTCCTCCGCCTCCTCCTCCTCCTCCTCCTCCTCCTCCTCCTCCTCCTCCGCCTCCTCCTCCTCCTCCTCCTCCTCCTCCTCCTCCTCCTCCTCCTTCCCTACAGCCCCCCCTCGCGCCCGGCCCGAGGGGCGGCCCAATAGACGTTACGTGGGTGCGCCGGCCCAGATCGGCGCAGCACCTCTCGCGGGCCATCTGCTCGCCGTGCACCCGGGCGCCGCCTCAGCTGACGAAGGGGCCCAGGGACACACAGATACACACACATATCAAAATGGTTCCCCATATCTTTTCCATATTTTTTTGGTTTTTCGTCTTCCCCCCACCTTCCCCTATTTTCCCCTATCTTCTGGGGGATCGACGGCTGATTGTGTCTCTGTGTGCTTCTTCCCCTCCTGAATCTTGCTAGGAGGAGCCTCAGGGGCACATCATTCGTCGATCTGTGAGGGCCCTGAGGTGCCCCAAAGCCCCTGGGGGTCCCCGGGGCCGTCCGGGGAGAAGCGGTTTCCGCGGGGCACCTGACCAGGTGGCCACACGTGGACCCTACCCTGGCCGCCCCCCCCCACGATTGCGACGGGGGGCTCGGGGGGGGGCGGTCGCTCTGCTCAGGAGCTCCCGAACGAGGTGAACCCCCTGCCCCCCCCCCTCAGAATTCTTGGGTGGTGGTGGCAGGGCTCGCATGTGGCCATCGACTGACGGCAAACTGACCTCTGCTTTGGCGCGCCTGCGGTGCAGCCGCTTCGGATGGGCGCGGGGGCGCCGAGCGGAAGGATGTCTGGCCCGGGCGGCCTCGGCGGTCGCCCACAGCTGCCGCGCACCCCCAAGAGACCCACTTGCGAGCGCCCAGGTCGGACACGGGCCGGGGAGAACGGCGGGGGGCGACACGCGCGGTGCTCCTCTGAGAGCTCGCCGAGCGGCGACTAACCTCCCTTCCTCCTCCTCCTCCTCCTCCTCCTCCTCCTCCTCATCCTCCACTTGGACGTTGGCAGAGCTGGGTTTAGTGGGACCTGGTTTAGTGATGTGTGCTGGAAGACGCCCCCTCCGCCCCGTTCCACTAACCGGAACTGCCGCCACCCGGAAAAAAAAACACCAGCTGCGGCAGACCTGGTTTCGTGACTCTGCCCAATTTAGGGGCCCTGGGGTCCCACTATTAGCCGGGTCCCCTTATCATTATTGTTATTATTGTTATTGTTAGTATTATCATTATTAATAAGATTATTATTATCGTTAGTATTAATATTACTATTTTCATTATTCTTATTCTTATTTGGGTCCTACTACTAGCCGGGTCCCCTTACCTGGGATCCTGGCCATACACCCGATGCACCCCTGTCGCACGCGCAGGCGTGCCGGTCGGGCGTTCTGCCTGACACGCCCTCGCCACTAACGATTCTGACATGAAATTCGCGACAGCTTCCTGGATGGAGAGCGGGCTGTTTTGAGGATGTATCCCCAATTAGAGCTTTGCGTAGCCCGCCTAGCTTTTAACCGGAAGGGGCTCGCTCTCGACCCGCAGATCACAAAGGCTGCTTTGAGGATGTAGCTCTCGCCTTAGCGCCGCGCACGTTCGTCTTCACATGTTGCCGCAGCTTCAAGGACGAGGGCGGGCCCTGTTCAAAACGTGGCTCTCGCCTTGCCGCCGTGCGCATTCGTCTCAAACTTCTGCAGCAGCTTCACAAGAGGATGGCGGGTGCTTTTCAAAATGTGAGTCTCGCATGGTCACCGCGCATATTCGGCTCAGAGATGTTCAACCATTTCAAGGACGGACGGGGGCCCTTTCCAAAATGTGGCTCCCCCCTTGCCGCCGCGCGCATTCTTAAAAAAGGTGCAACAGTTTCAGAGATGCAGGGGTGGCCCTTTTCAAAATGTGGATCCCGCCTCAGCGTCGCACATATAATTTTGCATAGTGTGCAACAGTTTCAGGATTCGCATGGTAGGGTTCCCAAGAACGGTGTTCTGGTACTGTTTGGGATTGTCAGGACGCAGCAGTCACGTTGATTCACAGTGATGAGGTCCCAGAAATGGCGTTCTGGCACGGTTTAGGAGACTCAACAGTTCAGTTGGTTTGCGGCGCTGACAGGCTCAATTCTGGTACGGCCCCATGAAGAAGGAACTTACAGGGAGGGTTTCTTGCGACATCGTGGATGCGTCTTGGGTTTGCACTGTTTCTCGTCCTCGTCCTCCTCCTCCTCCTCCTCCTCCACTTGGACGTTGGCAGAGCTGGGTTTAGTGGGACCTGGTTTAGTGATGTGTGCTGGAAGACGCCCCCTCCGCCCCGTTCCACTAACCGGAACTGCCGCCACCCGGAAAAAAAAACACCAGCTGCGGCAGACCTGGTTTCGTGACTCTGTCCAATTTAGGGGCCCTGGGGTCCCACTATTAGCCGGGTCCCCTTATCATTATTGTTATTATTGTTATTGTTAGTATATCATTATTATCATTATTATTATGATTATTATCATTATCGTTCGTATTAATATTACTATTTTCATTATTCTTATTCTTATTTGGGTCCTACTACTAGCCGGGTCCCCTTACCTGGGATCCTGGCCATACACCCGATGCACCCCTGTCGCACGCGCAGGCGTGCCGGTCGGGCGTTCTGCCTGACACGCCCTCGCCACTAACGATTCTGACATGAAATTCGCGTCAGCTTCCTGGATGGAGAGCGGGCTGTTTTGAGGATGTATCCCCAATTAGAGCTTTGCGTAGCCCGCCTAGCTTTTAACCGGAAGGGGCTCGCTCTCGACCCGCAGATCACAAAGGCTGCTTTGAGGATGTAGCTCTCGCCTTAGCGCCGCGCACGTTCGTCTTCACATGTTGCCGCAGCTTCAAGGACGAGGGCGGGCCCTGTTCAAAACGTGGCTCTCGCCTTGCCGCCGTGCGCATTCGTCTCAAACTTCTGCAGCAGCTTCACAAGAGGATGGCGGGTGCTTTTCAAAATGTGAGTCTCGCATGGTCACCGCGCGTATTCGGCTCACAGATGTTCAACCATTTCAAGGACGGACGGGGGCCCTTTCCAAAATGTGGCTCCCCCCTTGCCGCCGCGCGCATTCTTCTTAAAAAAGGTGCAACAGTTTCAGAGATGCAGGGGTGGCCCTTTTCAAAATGTGGATCCCGCCTCAGCGTCGCACATATTATTTTGCATAGTGTGCAACAGTTTCAGGATTCGCATGGTAGGGTTCCCAAGAACGGTGTTCTGGTACTTTTTGGGATTGTCAGGACGCAGCAGTCACGCTGATTCACAGTGATGAGGTCCCAGAAATGGCGTTCTGGCACGGTTTAGGATTCTCAGGACTCAACAGTTCAGTTGGTTTGCGGCGCTGACAGGCTCAATTCTGGTACGGCCCCATGAAGAAGGAACTTACAGGGAGGGTTTCTTGCGACATCGTGGATGCGTCTTGGGTTTGCACTGTTTCTCGTCCTCGTCCTCGTCCTCCTCCTCCTCCTCTTCCTCCTCCTCCTCCTCCTCCGCCCTTCCCCGGCCCTCCTACCCCGCACTTCCCCACCTCCTACTCCTCCTCCGCCTCCTCCTCCTCCTCCTCCTCCTCCTCCTTCTCTTCCTACTCCGCCTCCTCTCCTCCACCTTCTCTCCTCCTCCTCCTCTCCTCCTCCTCCTTCTTCTTACTCCTCTTCCCTCCTCCTCCTTCCCCTCTCCTTTCCTGCCAGCGGGGGGAGGACAGGGATAGAGGACGCGCACGGCCATTTCGCCCGGCAGCGGCACGCGCGGCGCTCGGGTGGAGCAGCTGGGCGGGGGGGGGTGGGGGGACTCAAATCTCCAAGAAGAGTGGGCGCGGAGGAGGCAGGGCGGCAAGATGGAGGGCCGCTGCACGGCGGGGAGGTGGCTGGCTGCAGTTGCGGCAGCGGCGGCTCCTCATGACAGACTCGGACAGGAGGATGCTCACGTCGTAGATCTTCGTCGCCCGCTCGATGCTCTCGGCGATGCTCACGTTGGGCGACCTGCGGCGCTGCTCGAGGGGGGGGGCTGCCTAACCATGCCGACGGCCATCTGGCCTTCCTCCGTCTCTTCGCCAGATCCGGGGCCGGCGGAGTGATCGCATCGCCGCCCTTGGCGGCGAGCCCGGGAGGGAAACGAGAGCGGGTAGGCCTCCTCAGGAGACGGCGGAGCTTCTCAGAAGCCCTCGCGCCCTCGGAGAAGACTCGTATATATACAAGCCTTCTCCGAAGCCGCAGGCGGCTTCCCAGAAGGCGTGCGTGCTTCCAAGAGGCCCAGCCGTCGTTTGAGAGGAGGAGGAGGAGGACGAGAGGGAGGAGGACGAGAGGGAGGAGGAGGAGGAGGAGGAGGAGGAGGAGGAGGAGGAGGAGGAGGAGGAGGAGGAGGAGGAGGAGGAGGAGGAGGAGGAGGAGGAAGAGGAGGGAGGAGGGAGAGGAGAGAGAGGAAGGAGGAGGAGGGGGAGGAGGAAGTGGAGTAGGAGGAGGAGAGGGAAAGGGAGGAGGAGAAGGAGAAGGGAGAGAGGTACAGGGGAGTCATGGAGGAGGAGGAAGGGCCTGCCCCCGCTGACTTCCCCCCTTGGCCCGCCGCCGATGCCCCGGCAGCGCCGGCCGAACGGCACCGGACACAGGCCGACGACACGGCGGCACGGCGTCGACTCGCTCGGCATGTACCACCGCCAAGCATCGGCCAAATGCAGTCGGGGCCTTGACCTAAGGAACCCAAAATAAGGAACGAGGCCTCTTTTTTCCATGAGTTAAACTTCGATTCCCATCGAGAACCTAAGGGAAACCTGAGGCAAGCTGCGAAACACGTAAGGAACGCGGAGCCCCTCCCCAACCAAAAGGGTTCCTTCTTCAGGGCCCCGACTGTACCCGACGCACGTCCACCCTCAAGGACTGGTGGGTGGTCGCAACGGGCAGGGCTGCATCCCAGGAGCGCTAGGAATCTTGGAACAAGGAGACTGCACGGATGCAGCTCCTCGGGATTTCTGGCAGCCCGACGGACAAGTAGGACGCGTCGATCTTAAACTCGCTGCCCACGGCGCCCTCGATGGCCCACCTGGGCGGTGTTTCTTCCAACATGCGACTTGCTGAAAGAATCATGCCTTTCTCGTCCGAACGACTTACAATTTGATATGTTCGTGACGGATCTCCATGCTCCCTGACCGTGCCCAACACATGTGACAAGCGACGGAAGATGCAATCGATGACGCCAAAGACACATTTGCCAATGTACCGCGCGCATAAAACATGAAGTAATGAATGATGGAAGGCAAGCAGCGCGTTTGGTAACAAGTGGGCATCCCCCATCAGTCCTTTTTCTCAGCCGCATCATTACTTGCAATGAACTGACGTCATGACCACAAACATGAATCCGCCCAGCAGATCGCGAGCCAATCCTATTCTAACATTTGCTGTGCATCAAACTCTAAGCTGGTCTGGCCTTTGCTTGGCTCTCCCCCACTTGGGCCCTCTGCAAACCTTCACCCTCGGCCCCTCTAAAGTTCAGATCCAACCGGACACGCCGTCATCACACGAACCTGCGTCTACGCTTAACTGTCCTCTGTGTAGCGGGTACCCTTGCCACAATTAAACTGTATAGTATCAGGCCATGCAAGTTTCCGACCGCAGATACAGACCCGCATTCACACAGTGTGTGCTTCTTACTTCAAGAATACATGTCGAACGCTGCCATGGGCCACGCCTGCAATAACGAGATGACGCTGAGACTCTGCGCAGACTAATCAGTGCAACACTAAGTGATACCAGGAAAAATGTGCAACACTCGAAGGCGCAAGTTTCTGTGATACTACATTGGGACGGAAACCTCAAGAGTGCAAAACTTTCATGTTGCGTTTTTGACCCTACGTAAGGCGTGTGGGACCAGAGGTTTGTGGGTGCGTGCGTGTGTGTCTGTGTGTGTGGAGCCTGGCGTGTGTAATCCCATGGTTGTGAAACCGCACGGTGTATGTGTGTGTGTGTTGTGTGCCAGTCCCCCTGCACGAAGGCGGGTCTGGGCCCCAAACCTGCATTTCATCCACAACGCTGGGTGCAATTAGCCAAACTTCGAGGTGGGAGGGAGACGTACGAGTGTGTGTGTGTGTGATTGTGTTGGTGTGTGCGTGTGAGAACATGTGTGATTCTGCGCCTTACCTCCGTTGCGCCACAAGGAGACGTCATAAACATAAACTGTTGGAGATCCATGCGGATTTCTGGCATCGGCGCTGGACCCCTCTCCCTGGCGCTGGCGAGCAGAGCGCGCCAGAAATGGCACCGGAGGCGCCGCCAGGGGGGGCCAGCACCGAACCAAGAAATCCGCGAGGAGCTCCGCAAGCTTATGTTTGTGCAGATGTTGGTTCCTCGAGATTCGCCTCTGCCCGAAGATTGCACGACTGGTGCGCGCGGTCATGAGCGACACTTCGTGGCTCAATCCTACTGTTAACGTGGCCAGCTTGACATGCACAACCGCGATCGCCCTCTCACTGCGGAGTTGAGGACAGTATGTGTGTGTGTGTGCGGACAGGCTGCGGCCGGGAAAATTGGCTTAGCGTTAATAAGGGGGAAACAAACCTACCTCGCTTTTGACCGCCCTCGCTTCCAAGAGATACCAAGCGATGCCAAACTACGGCCTGTACTGGTCAGGCCGCTTGACGAGGAGGCGCGTGGTATGACTTGGTTTTTCCTGGAAGCGAAAGCGGGGGAGGTAATTCACGCTCTGAGTTAAGTCGGGCGCGTCCCCCTACAGGGAGATTTCCGACCAAAGATGAAAAATACAAAAAAAAAAAATAAAAAAATGCTCCAAAATGGTAAAAAAATACTCCAAAAATAGTCCCCAAGCTATTGTTTGACTATTATTGAATATTCCCCCTGTAGGGGGACTGGCCCGACTTACGCTTAGCGCGAGGTGAACGCTTGGGACTTGGGACGCGGTTGGCGTGCCGCGCCGAAGCGCGGTGGGACAGAACTGGCGGCGCGACACGCTGAGCGCGAGTTCCCGGCCGTTGGCCTGAAATACCGAGCAGCTCGGTGCACGCACTGCTTGGGGCACTGCGGCGACTGCTGCTTACCTGGTCTACCGCAGGCCACGTCCGACTGCCGACGGCGCGCGCCGTCGGCTGCTCCCTGCGCGTCTAATCTGCCCGGCGACCCTGGCGTGGCAATCTCCCGTACAGACTGATGCCAAAAACGAGCACAGCCCGTCATCAAACAAGATGTGCCGCTGCCTCGACCATGCTGCAGGCGGGCATCCAGTGTCCTCCGCCTCCGCCGCCATCGCTCTTCCGCTTCCCTTTCCTCCTCTTCTTCCCCCTCCCCCTCTTCCCATCTCTCTCCTCCTCCTCCTCCTCCTCCTCTTCCTCCTCCTCCTCCTCTTCCTTCTCCTCCTCCTCCTCCTCCTCCTCCTCCTCCTCCTCCTTCTCCTCCTAGGTGGCTCTCGCGCGGGCCCCGCAGGCATTTTGCCCTCGGCGCGGGCGCCCGCCGAGCGATAGCCCCCAGCCCCACGGAGGGGCGACCCCGCGCTGCTGCAGCGCGTTCCCGCTCGCCAGCCTGGCACCGCAGGGAGCGGCGCCTGCGGGCTGGAGCGAGGAGGCGGCTGAGGCAGCTGCAGGACGCACAGCGCCTGGACGCGCACCACGGCAGCCAGGCGCCGAAGATGGTCAAGGGCGGGGCCAAGGCAGGCTCCGACAAGGCCTACGTGGTGTGCAAGGCCTGTGGCGAATGGTGGTGGAGCACGCGCTTGGAGGCGATGTACTACCAGTGCAAGTGCAAAGCCGCCCTGCCGAAGCCCAAGTCGCCGAAGGCGGACTGGGGAGGCAGCGACGGCAGCAGCAGCGCGCCAACAGCGGCAAGGGGCCGCTGCAGCAGCACAGCAACACCAAGAGCACGCCGAAGGGCGCGGACAAGGTCTCGCAGGCCCTGAAGCTGCTCACGGGGACACCCCTCCCCCCCCCCCCCCCCCCCCCCCCCCCCCCCCCCCCCCACCCCCCCCCACCCACACCCCCCCCACCACCCCCCCCCCCCCCCCCCCTCCACACCCCCCCATCCACTCCCTCCCCACTCCCACCCCAAACCCCCCCCCCCACCACCCCCCCCCCACCACCCCCACCCCCCCACCACCCACCCCGCTGGGCGACCTGAACTTGTCCAACGGCGAGGCCATCTCGAGGACCCTGCAGGGCGCGGCAGCAGCGATCAAGGCCGCGGTGCCAGAGCCTCCGCCCAAGTCAAGGGCGCAGAGGCTAGGCATCGCGGCCAAGGCACTGCAGGAGGCCAACCAGGCGTACTCGTCGGCGTTCGCGGCCAAGAAGCGGGCAGACGCAGCCGCTCAGGAGGCGAGGACCAAGCTAGACGTGAAGGCGGCGGCGGTGCTCAAGGCGGAGAAGGAGCTCGAGGACATCCAGGCGGAGGGACGCGACCCTCCGAAAGGCGTCCTGGAGCAGCTGGTCAGCGGCCAGGTGGAGGAGCTGGCGGCGGGCCAACTCGCAGCGGACATAGAGCGAGAGCTGAACCTGACCGCCGCCGACCTGGACGAGGAGGGACGCAAGCAAGTGGAGGAGGTGAAGAAAACAGTCGTGGCCCGGATGAAGGAGAACGCCCAGGCCTTCTCGACGCAGCTGAAGGAGCACCTGGCGGCGGCGAAGCTGAAGGCGGCGGAGCAGCAGGCCACGATTCACCAGGCGGCGAAGAAGAGGAAGGCCGAGGGAGGAGGCGCAGCGGAGCCCGCGCAGCAAGCGACCACAGCTGCCGAGCCCCAACAGCCAGCAGCTTCCCCCACGGAGGCCTCGGCACCAACGGCTGGGACGCCACCGGCTGCGGGAGGAGGAGACGCAGAGGCAGAGGAGTACCTCAGACAGCTGAGGGAGCACACAGGAGCAGGCAGCCCAGCGGGGGCAGCCGCGGCCTGAGGACAGGCGCGCGGAGCTCGGCGCAAAGGAGGCGGCGCCGCCGAGCCCCGCGAGCGCACACTGTTCTGCGCGAACCTCACCAGCTGGGGACCCACAGCCAGGCTGTGGATGGCCAAGCAGAAGATTGGCCAGGGATACGACGCCTACGCGTTCCAGGAGACGCACGTAGGCCGCTCAAATTTAGATTCCGTGGAGTGCGAACTTGTGAAGTTGGGTTACAAGGCGTGCTTCACGGCGGCGAGACCCAGCTCACGCTCAGAGAGGGGTACATGCGGAGGGACAGCGGTTGTCATGAGGGGACATCTGCGGACCTCGAGTTTTCGGTGCCAGGCCAGGCAGTCCACAGTCACGAAGGCGACGACCGACGTGAGTGGGGAGTGGAAGGCCGACCTGGACCTGTGCGACTGGACACCAGTCACGTGGCACTTGAAGGGGACGACAATCACGGTGATCAGCCTCTACCTGGACGTTGGCAAGGCGCTGCACGAGGGCATCAACGCCCGCAAGCTGACCGCCCTAGCCGCGTTCTTGAAGGGGCTGAGCGGCGCATGGATCGTCTGCGGCGACTTCAACAAGGCACCGACAGAGATGTGGGACTCGGGCTGGCCATCAGCTATGGGGGCGACAGCCATCGTCTCGCTGCCAGACGGGGGGGAGCGTGGGGGGTGTGGAGGCGGTCTACGACGTGCCGTGGCACATCGGGCTGAAGTTCACGCTCTACGCCGAGGCGCAGGAGACGAGGACCCGCTCGCTGCGCATGCCTCAGCCCTTCCCTCACCCTCCCCGACCCAAGAAGCAGCCATGCCCAGGCAGCAAGAGGACGAGGAGGAGAGTGAGGGAGGAGGCAGCAGCGCAGGCGCGGGCAGCAGCGGCTGGAGGAGGAGGCCAGGAGGAGCTTGAGCAGCGCCCACCTCCACAGGACTTCGAGCTGGCGCTGGACAACGCACGGTGGGAGGCGCTGGCGCCAGTCGAGGCGGGCTGGACGGGCTTCCCCGCGGGGGCCAACCCAGGCGCCGAGGGTGCAGTTCGTGAAAGGATTGGCGGAAAGGAGTCAGATGAGAACCTTGGGGACGGCCTCCCAGGTTCGACGTGGATGCGAGCGAGCCCAGGATGGGCAGATGCGGACGCGGACCCCTTCGCAGATCTCGAGGATCAC